GATGCAGGCGAAACGTCAGGAAAAATGCCTTTAGAACATGGCCATATAGCCCGAAAAAACCCACAAGAACCTTATGAATTCATTTACTTTCTGAATGGGCAGCCAAGCCCTTGGTTATCCAGAACTACCACTTTTGTCTTTTGAATCTTGCACCTTTGGTTTCACACGAAACTGGACACTTAAGTTAATCATCTGCATATCCACATTACCACTTCCTCCAGGCTCACGCCCTCAGCAACAGATTGGACCAACCATCATCTGTCTTTCTTCCATTACAGGAATCTCTTCTTTCAGGCTCTGATGTCAGGAGAAGCTCTGGCCAATCCTGGCGTGAATCCTACTTTCCCTCTCTTTTCAGCCAATCAGGAGAGGGAGCGGGAAGTCTGAATAGCTGTCAGAACTACATAAAATGTAATTTATTTTTCTGAGAATTTGTGCTTGTACCTTTGAAAGCATGCTGCTTGTACTTGCATCCTTTTTAACCAAATTGTAATAAACCTCTGTAGCTTTGCCTTCAACCTGGAGCACTTGTTCTCTGTCCTAGCTGATTTGCTTTAGTGGAAGCTCACTGGGCACAGACCTCCTTATCTGTGGTCCTAGCTGAAATCACTACAGAATGACTTTTGTCTTATCCATAGATCATTTCAAAATTCAAAATTTTGACCCCAAATCTTTCCTTGATTAAAAAAAAATCAGGAATAGCATAAAATGGTTAAGACTATGTTGATGTGCTTATTAATGAAAGATTATGTTCCAAAGGTAATGTTTCAGTTTATGTCCTAGGAATATCAATTGTGAGACAAAAAGGCCAAAATCATGACATGTGGTTCTGCAATATAGGTCCTCAAGCAAGACTGGAATTACAGTAAACGTGGGCAATGGAAGTGCCCAGTCTGAATGTGGAGAATTGATAGTTGGGGAAAAAATACTGTGGGCTCTTGATATTTGTTGAGGTTTGCATTAAGGACTGACCTAACCCTCCCCATGAGTACCAAAATGCACAGATGCTTAAATTCCAATCTATATAGAGGTGTAGTAAAATGGTGTCTTCTATATAAAATGGCAAAATAAGGCTTGCTTTTTGGATTCTTAAAAATGTTGTCAAGCCACGGATGGTTGAATCTCTGCATGCAATCTATGGATTCATAGGGCCAACTATAATGACACAGAAAGTTTATAATGGATAAATGAGAAAAATGTGTGATCAAGATAAAAAGGAATTGTTTTGGCCTGTGGCTTAACTACTTTAACCTCTGGTTCCTCTGCTCTGCACTACAGCACCTAAGCCTTTAATCAAGGCTGAACATATATGACTGAAACAATAGTATGCACTTTCTCAATTTATTACTGCCTCCCCTTCCTCTCTAATGTTTGCTCTGAGCCAAATTTTAGATTGCTGTTCATTAAGTCAAGCTCTGTGGACCAAGGACTGATTTTCTCCTATTCTGTCAATCACCATGCACAGTGACTGTGCCAAATAATATATATACACGAATAAGCGAAATAAACCAGCAAGAGCATGAGAGAGGCTCTTGATACCTCTGGGAGGCTAATTTCAAATACAATTAGTGGAAAGGGGTTTTATAGCCAACTCTTTAAAACAATGGATAGAGTTTATCAAAGTATATGCCAGGAAATTGTGTTTCCTTACGTATTTTAGTTTGATAAAGATCATGTGGCTCACATCCCTGCCCCACAGAATGTGGTATAAGTTGGTTAGTTGATCTGAATTCTGCCTTTGCTCTGCATGAAGGTCAATGCATTTGTGCCAAGAGGGCCAATAAATGAGTCTTTTGTGTTGTTTCGTGTGCGTGGAATTTGCATAGGATGTGCTGGAGCAGGCAGATCTGTTTTGGCAAACAAGGAACACGTTCTTCTTGCAGCCTCCTTGCTTCCCAATGCCTCATCAGAAGCTTTCAGCACTTGTGTAAGAGATTTGACTTTCTATATATTTCACTAATAGGTAGTATCAGATATACTGAAAGTTAATTATTTTAAAAGTCTCAAATTGGCAGCTTTTATTTCTCTTGGAATATTGCTTGATAGATGCTAGCTTTTTAGTTCAATGGCTTTTCCTTGAAATTTGGCATAATGGCTGGGGCAGTAGGGGAGAGAGAATGACTAGCATTGCTGTTTTAAAGAATAAGCATCTTTCTTGAGAAGAAAGGCTATTGACTGTTCTACCTCTCCTTAGAAGGCAATGTTAAATCCAGTTAGATCATGCAAGAATGTGGAGAAAGCATGCTTAGTGGCAAAGCTGGCTTGGCTGGCACAGATGTTAAAACAGCATAATGGACAGCAAGCATGAGGTCAGTCAGCATACATCCCCAGCTGTTTCAACCGAACTGCTCCATCTTGCTTTTGGCTTGTTAAGCACATGAAATCGCAGAACAGCCGATGAAGTTAGACTAGAATCAGATTGCCCTTGGCAGCATTCTCCTTTAGCTGCTGGGGAAAGCTGCTTCTCTTCTCTGTGGCCTTCTGCCTTTGGAGTTATTTTATCAGTCTTAAGAGCTCTGATTCTTCAAGTCCTCCTATCTTTAGCCAGTTGGCAGTCATGGCCTGTCAGGGGATGGTCCTCAGAAATCTTGACATTTTTTTTAAAAAAGATCCACCATATCAAGACATCGCAGCTCGTAAGAAAGAGCTATTGATTTCAGACACCAGCTTCCTCTCCCCATGTGTTTTGAATGCTTGGCTTGCAGTAAACTGATCATAATTCACCTCTAAAAAGAGTTTCTTATGAAACTTGAAATGAAATGAAACTTTATTTATAGCCCGCCCTGTCTCCCCAAATGGACTCAGGGCAGCTCACAACAAATACACAGTGGCAAACATTCAATGCCAACAATAATATATAAACAAATCAGAAACAACTCAATAAATTATAAAGCAACTTAAACACATTAAATCATTAAAATTTCATTAAAAAGCTCTAAGTTTGGGCTAAAAATTTTGGAAGGGCGGATGGTGAACCGCAGAATAACAGCAGATATTAGCAGCTAAGCAAGAGTGCATATAGGTGTACTTAATCCTCCTCCCCATAAGCTAAATTGCATAGTTGAGTTTTTAATAGCTTTTTAAAGGAGAGGAGGGAGGAGGCCATTCTTAATTCTTTAGGGAGGGAGTCTCAAAGGTGGGGCGCAATCATGGAGAAGGCCCTCTCTCTTGTTCCCACCAGCCACACTTGAATCTGGGGTGGGACCAAGAGGAGGACCCCATCAGCTGATCACAACGCTCATGTTGGTTTGTATATGGAGACGCGGTCTTTCAAATATAAATATAGTTATATTTATGCTATCAACGTACACCAGATGAATGTTCTACAAAATTTAGATTGAGCTAACTTACATATCTACTCTGATCTTCCTGATTTCCACAAAACTTTTTCAGTAGTGCACATATTTGTTATTTAGCAGTCTGCAAAAGCTTGGAAAATAACATTTTTCTTTAAAAGGTAGAAAAGAGTTAGTGTTCCTTATAGCTAATTACCTTGTATAGCCAATAAGTAACAAACTTTAGTCTATTGTATGGTTTATAACTCAAGAAAAACTGTGTGCCAGCATAATTCTTGAAGGCAGAGCTTTCCAAACATTTCATCTTGGTGACATACTTTTTAGACATGCATCATTTTGTGACACAGTAATTCAGTTCAGTAATTCAGTTTTCCTGGCAAACCAGAGGTTAAGCCAACCTCTTTTAAGATATACAGACACATACATAACTTGGGGATACAACAGATCTAATTAAAATCTTTCATTTATATATTTTTTAAAAATATATATGTTTTATTACTTTTTGCAAAGACTCTGAGATTTCTTGTTCTATTTGGGTGGCACACCTGCAGCCCACACATTAACATGTTCCAACACACACTTTGGAAAGCTCTGCTTTAAGGGGTTACAAGTTTCATTTGATAGACGTATCTAGCATCGTAATAATATCCTTCAGTGTTTTGATAGGATACAAATGTACAGTGCTTCAAACAGTCCCAGACTCTGCTAAAGCCCAATTTTCTGCAGATTAAAGTGCAGCCCTGCCTGGCCCACTGCTGTGTGGGTACACTTGTAACTAAAGGTAGCTCTTGCATAGTTGAGAGTATTCTTGCACTGTTGTCAAATGTGACCTTAAAGTAATACTACTTAATTTGTTTCTCCTCAGTGACGCTATCTGCAGCTTTGTTATCTGCAATGATTCCTCCTTTCAGCGACATCAAATTATCTTCAATCCAGACTTCTTTGTGGAGAAGCTGCGACATGAAAAGCCTGAGGTCTTCACAGAGCTTGTGGTCAGCAATATCACCCGGCTGATTGACCTGCCTGGGGCCGAGTTAGCCCAGCTGATGGGAGAGGAGGAGCTCCAGCTTCCCAGTGGGGCAGGCACATCCTCGGGTTTTTTCCGTTCTCTCATGTCCTTGAAACGTAAAGGTGAGACTTGTATTCATTGCCATCTTAACATTCCAGATTTGTTAAATATGCTATACAGTCTCTAAAATCTCCAAGGAAATTTTGCACAACTTTTTAATTGATTGATTGATTTTTAATACTAACTCTAATATACAATTAAAGTCACAATCAAACAGAAATAAGAAAAAGAGGGCAAGAAATAACAATACCATAACTAAAACATAATGGGACTCTGACCAGTCCTAATTGTAATGAAAAGAAAAATGTTACTCTACCATTTCAGATCCAGTTAAATGACTATTAAAATTACTAATAGCCATAACCACAGATTAGTATATACTAAGACTTCTTATTGCTAAAAAACCCCCACCAAAAAACAGATTTAGTCCTTCAAAAAGTCTTCTGTTGACTTACCCTTCAAAATTCATTTAGATTTGTAGTCTCATCTTTCAAAAGGATCCAACATTTCATTTTAGTACAGTTAACACCTACAAGATACTTTTGTCATCTATGAAACTGCATAGAGGAATATCCTCTGTTCTGTTCCAGGAACAGGAGATCTGTGTAATCTTTGGCATTGCCCAATTAATGAGAATAGGTGAGGTGATGGGGAAAAGCTATGTTTGAGGCTCTGGAAGGCCACTGCCAGCCAAAATAGATGGCACTGAGATAGGTGAACAAACCATCTCAACTAGTTTAAGAGAACTTCCTATTAAAAGTAAGCACCATATATTTCCTAGGAAATCAGTGGGCTGCTTACGGCTCTGTTTTACAAGTCTATATAAATAAAAATGTAATGCTCGTTTGTGGGATTAATATAACTCAAAAACCACTGGGCGATTTGACATGAAATTTGGACACTATATCTCTAACAGACCAACAATTGATCATCACTCATAAACCCCTCCAAAAAACAGGGGAAAGGACTTAAAAACCCAAAAAGCTAAAAGATGAAAAGTTAAATGAAAAGTTAAAAAGGGAAGGAAGAAGGAGGGAAGGAAGGGGAGAAATAAATAAATAAATAAATAAAGAAAGAAAGAAAGAAAGAAAGAAAGAAAGAAAGAAAGAAGCATGGAAGTAAAGAGCAAAGGAAGGAAATAGGTAGAGAAGGAGGAAAGGAGAGAAAGAGAAGGAAAAGAAAAAAGGGGGGAAGGAAGGAGGTAGAGAAGGAAGGAGAAAAGGAAAGAAAATAAGGGAAGGAAAGAAAGAAGAAGAGAAAGGGATGGAAGGTTGGACACTGCAACGCGTGGCGGGGACAGCTAGTCTGAGATTAATATGTATCTCTCACCTTCTGTGAAAAATATCACTGAATTCTTGAATGAGCTGGCCGTGCTGTGTTGCTAACTAGTTACCAAATTTCCAATGGCCAGACAAGCCAGCAGTCATGATCTGAAGACATAGTTGCATTTCCTTTAGAATGCATTCATTAAATCCATTAAAACTGGAGGAAGAGTCTACTGATCTGGCAGAAAACAGTCTTAGATTCTGCCTGCTTTTCAGGGTGTTTCCTTTTCATAATTGTGTCATGGCCCAGTTCTTCCTCCCCAATTCAGTTCAAACACACCTCTTATTTTTAGTTAAAGTATAATTTATAATACTTCCTCCTCTCAAGTTCTAAGAATAATTTATGTTTCTTCTAAGAAAGAAAATGTGAAGTTGTTTAGTTAATACTAATAAGGTTTTGCACTTATGACCATATTTAGAATGGTAAAGTATGGAACAGAACTATGCCAATGGTAACAGTTTTCTTTTTAAATAAAATATGTTTATTGTTGCAATATAAATACCTAGTATCCACAATATAAGAATATCTTAATATATTAATACTAACTCATATAACATAACAATGATTCATTGTGATAGCACTTTTTCAAGGGTGGCATAGGAAGGCACAAGAATCTGCTGTCTCCGAGAAGGCTTTTTTCTGATTCCTCACTTCCTTGGCAGCCTCTTTTTCTTCCTTCTGTTACAATATATTCAAATATCCAGAAACGGACATATTTACTCCAGTGTATTTATTATTTATTTTTATTTCAAACATTTACACCCTGTCCTTCTCAACTCCCGGGGGGGGGGGAGGGAGGGGGAGAACTCAGTAACGTACCAACTGGATTCTGGACTTGGAAGGAACTGATTTTTCTGCAGATGTTCATGAATAGTCCTAGGCATGCAGTTTCAAAGCTGGCAAAAACCCTGTGATAGTGCAAGTAGTTTTTAGCTGAATATGGCCAAGTCTGCAGAATTATGTAAATATTTTTCCATGGACTGCCTTGGAATTTGCAAATGAGTTCATTTTTGAGCGTATTTGTCACATATCTTTTTTCACATCTGTAACAGACTGAATACAGGGGGGAAATAAAGATTTCAAACAACATCAGTAATGCAAAATGGCAAACTAGACTTGCGTCTCTTTAACTCTTTTAGAGTACTTGATGTTACTGTTATAACTGGCATGACTGATAAAATGTCAATTCGCGTGGGATATCGAGGCAAGTTGGAGAGAGATGTAAACAGAATATTAAGGAAAGGAGTGCTTAATTAAAGCAAGCTTATAGCTGACAGGTTCTGTTAAATATTCATATAGCTCTGTAATATTGTTAGAGGTTAATTAGATTTGAATAGCAGTGAGAGATGGTAAAAGCGAATACTATGGCCAGACAACATTAAAATCACTGTTAACTGCAATAAATACCATAACTGCCAGTAACTGCCAATACTGGGTCAGATTTCAACTCTGCTCATTTCAGGACTCTTAAGATACCCAACAATAGGAGCTGAAGTCAGTTACAATTTTGCTAGAATATAATGCACTAATTTTTTATGTCTTTGGGCAGAGGATGACATCTGAAATTGTGTTTCTAGCTGCCTTTTGACAGCTCCAAATGACTGGGCAAATATGTCCTCAGAAAGCCATTATACATTTTTTCCAGTTATTTTATTTCCTACAGTTTTAGGAGCATCAGTGCTCCCAGCAGAAAACATATATCCTGGAGACTAACAGGATACACACCTGTTTAGCTTCGGCAATGCTGCAAGATAAGTATTCTTAGCAGATTCAACAGGCTCTGCCAAGGCACCACATTTAAATAAATAGACTATGAGCGTTCTGTAAACATAACCACAAAACATTATGTGGTATATCGAATACAAGTCCAAGTTGCTTATTGTTCTGTAGTGTCAGTAGAAAAACTTGCTTTAATTATCCAATTCTGTTTTAGGATTCCCTCCACATCAAATTTGCCATTTGGCTGAGTGTGGGAAGTCTATTCCAACTTGTCAAACTCCTTTCTAGTTTCTGTATAGGTCATGATTCTCTTTTGTTTCCATAATTTCCAAATACTTGGCTCTGGGCTAATTGTTGAAATCTTGGTCCAGGCCATTGGTTTCTCCATAACTGACATCTTTTTAATCTGATACACCATAAGAAGGTAGTTGAACTTGTGATCTTTTCTGTAGCTTTTATCTGATAACTGGGTAACTAGTGGTCCTGGCTGCCATTGCCAGGGGATCCAAAATCAAGAGTTGGTATTCAGTGCATATGTTGCCCATATCCAAATCTAGTATTCCCTTTGCTAGCTAATACTGAGAAATGTGACTTAGAGATGGATAACAGAAACATTCTGCAGTAAAATATCTCAGTAGAACTTCCAGTGAAAACCAGATGCTAGGAACAAATGGGAAAGACCGTCATTGTTATGTCCTATCAATGAGTATCCAATTCCCACGCAAAATAAAATAAAATTAGGGGTCTAAATAGATATGCTGTTCTTATTGTCAGGTTGTAATTGCATTCACTCTGGTAGGCCCCTCTCTATTTGGAAAACATTGGGAGTTAGTGTCGCTCACCAGGCAGGACTCTCCCTAACTGAGGTCCAGAGCTTTTACATTTCGAATTCATTCTGATTGATCTGCTAAGCAGTTCTTATATATAGTTTATCTTTCCCTTGAGTCTGTTCATTGTCTTCCATTTAAATTGAATTTTTAAGCAGAGGGCCAGTTCACAATCCCTCAAACTGTTGGGGGGCTGGATCATAGGTTGTTGTTCTTGTTGTGTGCTTTCAAGTTTTTTAAGACTTAGGGTAACTCTAAGACAACCCTGCCACAGAGTTTTCGTATCAATATGTATTCAAAGGGAATTTGCCTTTGTCTTCATCTGAGACTGAGAGAATGTGACTTAGCTAAAGTCACCCAGTGGGCTCAGAGTCACAGTCTTAGGTTCAAACCCTTTCCTCTCTTTTTGTTACCTACCTTTCTTTCTTTCTTTTCTCTTTTCCTCTGTTTTGGAGGGAGATAGAGAGATGAAAGGCAAGGAGATTTGAGAAACAAGAGTGGGGTGGATTATTCCCTCAGTTTTTGAGGAGGATAGAGAGTGGAAAGGAAAGGAGATTTGAGAAGCAAGGGGGGGGGTGGTGGAGAGGATTCCCTCTGTTTTGGAGGAAGATAGAAGGAAGGAATGGAAAGGAGAGTTAAGGAACAAGAAGAGGGTGGTGATAGTGGTAGTCTAAAATGTAGTATGGGGCCTGGGTAAATGACCTAGGAGGGCTGGATCAGGCCTGCAGGACTTAGTTTGTGGGAGGGGGGCTTGAGAAAAGAAAATTAGGCTTTCAGTTTTGTGAAAGAGCTTTTTTGCAGAGCACAACAAGTATTTTAAAAATAGCTGCTATCTGATAAACTGATAATGGGAGGGACACTTATAAAGAGGCTAGCCCAGTGCTTTTACTTCTTCCCTTTATGAATAGCAAATGGAGTGTTTGCACAGTTCTGGATCTTGCAATAGGAACACCAGTCAATATTTTTAGGGGCTTATGTCTTTTTCTTTCCTTACAATTTCCAGAAAAAGGAGTAATATTTGGAGCTCCACTAACTGAAGAAGGCATTGCTCAAATATCTCAATTAATTGAGTATCTGCATAAGAGTAAGTGGTGTTTGGCTACTTTTCCACCTTTGTAAGTCAAGGATTGTGGGCTTAACTGGGGAACAGATGTTGTATATGCAATTTACCAGGCTAGCAAAGCCCTAGAACTGATTTTTTAAAATGTGGTGTCATCAAAACACATAGGGTTAGAACACGCATTTTGCTCTGTCCAGCATGCTCGTGGGTTCTACACATAAATATTCTCTTTCTGCCCTGAACGTTAGAAGTTTATTTGCCCCTCTGGTGCTAGGATTCTGTGTGGGAAGCCAAAAATACTACAAGAAGATTGGGAAATGACAGCACTGCATGTAACTCATACTTGGTACTCCCTATGATGTCTTATGTCCCCTGTGGTGTTTCAGATCTGCGGATAGAAGGCCTGTTTCGAGTTCCAGGAAACAGCACCAGGCAGCAGGCCTTGAAAGATGCATTGAACAGCGGGACAGAAATTGACTTGGATTCTGGAGAGTTTCACTCCAATGATGTGGCCACTCTGCTGAAGATGTTCCTGGGGGAGCTACCAGATCCTCTGTTGACCCATAAACACTTCCATGCACACCTCAAAATTTCAGGTGAACTAGAACTTGGAGAGCAAGATGAACAGGCCTTCATTGGAAAGATTATTGGGTTATGATAGAAGAAAGATTTACTTAATATTTATCCAATGGTCCTGTCTTGTGGCTTTCCATACCCATTTCATGATAGCATCCTTGATAATTTGCAAAATTCTAACTATTACTTCTGGCTTTAAAAGTTGGGTCCTCTAATTTTACCTTTATTTCTGTCGTGACCATAGCATCTAAAATTGGAAGTTTTGAAATGTAAAATTATATTGGAAAAGAGAAGATGTTAAGAAATGCAAAGGAGTGTAAAGGGTAGTTGGAAAGGGGTAGCCCAGGTAGATGTGAAGGTCAGAAGTGCTCACTACCAGCTTTGGCTGATATGCCAGCTGCACCCCTTCCTAGATTTTGTGGACCTACAGATGGTAGTGCATGCATTGGTAACTTCAAGGCTGGACTTCTGCAATCCGCTTTAAATTGGGCTACCTTTGTACTGAGTAAGATTGTAGAACGACATGCCGGAAGAGCTCCGACACCTAGATCGGCTGTCAGAATTTCAAAACCATCTAAATACCTATCTCTTCCGGCAGGCTTATCTAGTCAGTTTTAAGCATTAATTTTAAACTCAAGTCTTGTGTTTTAATCTCTGTCTTGTGTATTTAATATGCATTTTGTAGAAATACATTTTAATATGTATCTTTTATAGAACTACATTTTAATATGTGTGTTTATAGAATGTTTTCAATGTTTGTGTGGTTTGACTGTGCTGTGACTTGCCTTGAGCCACGAGGAGAGGTGGATAATATATAAAATTGTTGTTGTTGTTGTTATTTATTGAATTTCATGGATTTCTTCGATTCCATGTCACAATGATTTTTCTTGTAGTTTGTCCTGCTGTATATCACATATGTTCTCTTAACTCTGCCATTATAGACCTAATGCAGTTTGATGACAAGGGCAATAAGACCAACGTTCCAGATAAAGAGCGGCAAATTGAAGCATTGCAGCTGCTCTTCTTGATCCTGCCAGCTCCTAACCGTAATTTGCTCAAGTTGCTCTTGGATCTGCTCTATCAAACAGCCAAGAAGCAAGACAAGAACAAGATGTCGGCTCATAACCTTGCTCTTATGTTTGCACCTCACATTCTGTGGCCCCGAAATGTAAGTGTTAAATTTTTGTGCAGTAATTTAAAAAAAAAAAAGCCAATGTGTAATGGAAGATAGTGCCTAGTTGTGTTCTCAGTTTTGTCTATTGCACCCGACCTTATCAATGAGTCCCCAGCTGACCTACTGTTTTCTAATTTCCTTCTTTGGTCCTCTTTCTGTTGCTAGGTAACTGCCAGTGACCTGCAGGAGAACATCCCCAAACTAAATAATGGGATGGCTTTCATGATCAAGCACTCACAAAAGCTCTTCAAGGTAGGTGTCCCAGGGAAGAAAGGGGACAGTTTTCAATTTTCAGTATTTGATTCTGAAATATCTTATACTTTTCTTTTTTGGAGAAATGTGCTCTCTTCATGCATTCCTGAAGTGTGCATACCCTCATTTATTTATCTGGTGCTTAATGATCAATGTTTAGGTCACATAAGGTCGCAGTATACAGGGACCAGGAGATCAACGCTAGTCCTTGTTTTCCCCTTTCTATATTGACCATTGCTCACACACTTTGATTAAAAACAATGTTAAAATACACAATCAAAAGTAGTACAGCAACCTTGTTAAAAACCCATTCTTTAAACATTTTCAATTTTCAAGGCCTGCCAATGGAAGGACATCAAGGAGGGAGCTATTCCAGTTTCCTTAAAATATCCAGCATGTGGAAGCAAGCAATATAGCTATTGTTGCAGTTAAAGCTTTCTAATGAAGCCAGCTTCTTACCTGCCTAGTAGTAAATCTGCCCCTTTCTTCATCGGTTTGTTCTGTGGCTTCTGAAGATGCTGTCTTTTCTCTGTATACTTATAGTCTCTTTGTCATTTAGTCTACAATATATTTCTACAATATATTCCTACTAATTTCTGGTTAGGCCAATGTCTAGAAAAATGGGCAAGTGTTGGTTGACCTTTGTTCAAACAAAGAGTTGTGTGCCATATTTGATGGAGAAAAAGCTTTAGGTTATCACATCCAGGAAAGCCATTCTGCTTGTGAAGCAGAAGCATGTAATCTTTTTCATCCAAGGCCTGGACTGCATGGATGCTGGTACTAAGTAGGCCCAAAATACCTTTCGGACCGCATCTTGGCCTATGAGCCCACGAGGACCTTGAGATCGTCTGGGGAGGCCCTTCTCTCGATCCCGCCTGCTTCACAGGCACGTCTGGCGGGGACGAGAGAAAGGGCCTTCTCGGTGGTGGCCCCCCGGCTGTGGAACGACCTCCCTGTTGACATCAGACAGGCGCCCTCCCTTCTGTCCTTCCGTAAGAGCCTGAAGACCTGGCTATTTGAGAAGGCATTCAACTGAGCGCTACGGCAACTGGTAATTGACAACTGGAACGGAATACGGATTACGGTATTGGTTATGATTCTATGATGTGACGGAGCGGATTATTTAGTGTAACTTAGATTATAGTGTATTATTGTTGTATTGATTTCCTGTTTTGCCCTTTTGTAAACTGTTTTTATATGTTGTGCACCGCCGCGAGTCGCCCTAGGGCTGAGAGCGGCGGTCAATAAATGCAGTAAATAAATAAAATAAAATAAATAAAGACACAAAAAAACATCCATTCATACACACACATTTACACACCCTTTACCCCATTCAAGTGCATCCATGCTTCCCTTCATTCATGTACAGTCATATAAGGTTTTCATTTCCATATTCCTTTTCCCCCGTCCCCATGTGCATGGTAATCCAAGAGAATAATACGTTTATTCTAAGCTATCTTTGTGGACAAGGGAATTTTCAAAAAGGATTTTTGCTGTTGGAGAATGCAACCTCTCAAGTGTCCTCTATTTGATGTTTGTGTATTTTGTAATAATGTTTTATTAGTATGCCATTTTGTAATCTGAAATGTATGTCTTTTTTGTAGTTTGCAGTTACCTTGTCTCTTTGTACTAAAGCAGTGGGAGGGGCTGCGATCATGTGACTGACAGTTTAGAATGTTCAGTTTTAAAAGGGATGACAGTTAGAGAAGTCAGTTGAGTTTTGAGCCTTGTTGGAGAATGTGTGTTGAGCTTTGAGTCAGCTTTGAGTGTAGAAGTATTTTAGTGTGTAAAAGCTAATGTTAGAAGCTAGTAAATTGTTGAGGTTTATATTTTCTTTTAAAGTGAACTCTTATTGAGAAGAGCTGTGTGGAGCAGCATAGTTTGTGAAGAAACAGTCAGAGTTAATAAGTTTTAAGATGCAATCTCTCCAAAGGTTTTTGAAGTATTTTAACCCTCAAAAGAAATGTGCCTGTATCATTGAATGCATGTAGTAATAAGTAAACAAACATTGTTATTTTTAAAAGAAGACTGCTTGAATCTTTGCCAGCCTAAAGCATAAAATAAACTCAAGGAATACTCCTCTCAAGCTTTGCTACCGCTGATGGGTTGCAATCATAACAGGTTGTGATCCATCCATTATCCCTAATAACTGCCACCTTCGAATTACCTCACATATAGTAATTACATTTGAATTGGGGAGGCTCTATTTCTGTGCACAGGATAATTTTTCCCTATGTATAATTATATGGAAAGAGCATCAGGTCACATTTCAAGGTTTCATGAGATGCTGTGGTCCAGAGACTGAGGTTCTCTACCCTTGGTTTTAAAGGAAACAGTAAACTCATCCGAATTGCTCCTTAGATTCATCTTCCTCATACTTTTTCAAAGAGAAGACTACCAGTCTTCGGGGCACTGACAGAAACATCCCTGGAACTTAGTGTCCAGTGCTTGTCTGAAGGGACTTGTACAGTAATTGTCCAATAGCGGGCCAAGGGCGCATTGGCCGAGACATGTCTGACTCTTTCTTTTTCATTAACTTTCCAAGGCTCCAGCATACATCCGGGAATGTGCTCGACTGCATTACTTGGACTCCAGAGCACACGCCTCCAAGGTAAGAACCTCTGTCACAGAAGACAGCACACAGCAAGAGCACTGTCAGGACAGCAAACTGAAAACTGAAACAGACATATTCATAAAAACAGAAATTGCCCAAACTTAAATTGTGGGCAATTTCTGTTTTTACAAAGACAAAGAATTAGGCCTTGGGTTTATCATCCTGTTATATATGTATTCCTACTAATAAAAACACTCTATTCTGGCTCCAGACTGAGCAAACTTGCCTAGCCATGAAAACTCATACTGTCCCGATGCATTTGAACACTTGGTTATGAAACTTACTCTAGATATATTAGTATCAGACAAAGCAAGACAGCTTTCTTTGGAGTGCAGTGTTCACAGTATTCTGGGACTGGGCTAGCTAAACCCTAGCAGATGAATGTGCTGAATGTCTTTCTAAAATTTTCCAGGATGACCTTGACTTGCCAGTGCATCAGAGCTTCAGAGATGTCCAGCTCCAGAGATTCAAAACCCGGGGATTGCTGGATCCTTCTGCCCACCCCAAAGACCCACAACAACATACAGAGGAGGCCCTGAAAGAACTCTTCCGGCATGTTCATAATATGCCAGATTCTGCCAAGAAAAAAAAACTCATTCAGCAGGTAAAAGTCATTGTAGTTTTTTATGGAATTTATTTACACAGCCTCTTTATATGCTTTTTAGAGAAACTCACAAATGCAGTATTAAAACACAGCAGCATAAAACAATAAACTGCATCACAAAAATTCCCGCAATGACCAAAAAAGCCCATAAAAATGACTGCACATACATAACATATAAACAATGGTTCAAAATACTAAGATCAAGTTCCTTAAAAGGTTTAGAATAATATTTTTGAAAGTTTTTTATCTGGCACAAAAATCACTCCAGACAAGGTGCAAAGCATCCTTTCTTGGGGCTGGGGGTTGGGGGGAAGCATTCCTCAGATAGCACACCACATTCAGGGACATTTGCATAGAAGCTACTTATTTTAATTCTCTAGGTTAGAGAACACATGGCTTTTGATAGGGCATGTATTGGTTGTTTGAGCCTTACCACTGTGAGTCTTGCCATTGTGGGCTTTAATCATCACAGGAAGCACATTTTATTGAAATCATGAGCCGGTTGACAGCTTGGATTTTGGCATATGTGGCTTCACCATAATATCAAAATAAAGTTATGTACATTTTTCTAGTTTCAGAAGCACCCTGAAGCTCTCACTCCTCAGGCAAGGACATCCACACCTCAGACCCAGAAAAGAAGCCGCACTCATTCCTTCAGTGGTCTAATCAAGGTAAGTAACCATCTATTATTAATAAGCTGCTCTGAAATTAAAATATTGTTCAGTATGCTTCTTTTTAGCATAATTATGATTGAGTTGCATATGCTTTCTAACTTGGCATCATCAGTATATTACACACAGCTGCTGAGGTTGGGGAGTAATGCTCCTCAGCTGCTGGCTTTTTCCTCTTGGAAAGTGGCAAGAGTGGGAATAGTTTGACTATTAGCTCATTAGGAGTGATATGTGAAATAGATGAGCCCCAGCACTTGTGCTGAAAATGCTGGTTTATTGTGGGCACCTGTAAAAAGCAGAGACTGATAAGAACTGAAATGGCTCACTGCCCTCTTTCACATCAAAATAAGAGGGCAGTGAGCCATTTCAGTTCTGACTTTCACATCTACCCATTTTTAACTTGATGTAATAGGTTCTAATGGGAATAAGGGGCTTTTTGTGGCACACAGATGTATCAAACAAACCTCAAATTTCAGATACACATTTCTCAGTTCTAGACTCAATGAAGGGCCATGGTATACAAGATGGAATGTTAAGTAACCTCAATACAGGATAGATGTTGATCCAAGTGAGAAAACAGCAATATAGCCAGCTTCGTAAAACATACACTTGTGTATGTGATTTTTCACCTTTCATCCAGAAAGCATATTTACTCAGTCACAGGTGACATCCAGTTCTAAACATTTGTGCAAACGCTAAAAGGACAGCGAAAAACTTTAGAGTGTTTGAGAAAGATTTTTGTGCTTTGGGATGTTGCTTTTCTCTCTGCTGTCTTACTGAACCTAAAATTCTGTAGAGAGCTATTGTTTTGTACCCTTTTTCTTCTGCACTCCACTCCAGTCCAAAACAGCCTTTTTCTTTCTTTAATACAGCGTAAAGTGCTGGGAAGTCAGGTGTCTTTGGACAAAAATGGGAAGGATGTTTTGGCATCTTCAGGCACCAAGGATCCAAAGTGTGACAGTAAAGAGAATGTCAGCATGGTAAGGGGGCTGTATAAAGATTTTATTTTCTTATATTGCTAGCAATCTTGCCTGTGTTTTACAGCTATCTGCATCATTATGGCTCTACAAAGTGTCCTAGAATCAAAAGAAATCTTGGTCCAATCCCTGCCTCTGTAATAGAAGAATCCTATGATAAATGTCTGCTTGGGCCAGATGTCATTGAGCGCTCTCGAGTTGTAATCATGTGGCCCTACAAATACTGTTGGATTGCAACTTCCATCAGCTTAGTTAGCATAGACAGTTGTGGGTAATGCTGTGAGATGTAGTCCAGCAACATCTGAAAGTACATATGATTTCTACTTCTGTCGTACATGCTAATCTCAGGAGAGGAAGAGAAAATGTGGCAGGAGAGAAAGGGAGGAAAGTCACAGAAATACCATCCACATTCATATCAGTAACGTTGCTGCTTATTAATCCCAGCACATGATGAAATTGTTCCCCTGCACTCTCAGCCTGTGCTGACTGATCTAAAGCATGGCCACAAAAATCCCCCAAATTAACACAGTACTCACTGTGACATCAAAATGTCCTGGACATGTGATCCTAACCTTCACAAGTATACTCAGTGAACACACCACTCCCAAGAATTCACATGCGAACATAGAGGAGCAATCTGATCCACCAAATACCATACCCTACTACACAGAACCACCTCAAGCTCAAGGCCAAAACACCCTCCTTTGATAATGCCTGAACTTAGTATACTTTTATGCTTTGTCTGAATGTTTAAATTTTATATATGTCTCATGTTTAATTAGTTATTATGATTTCTTTGTGTATTGTATGTTGGCATTGAATGTTTGCCATTAGTATGTTGTAAAAAGCCTTGAGCCCCCCCAAGCGTGAGAAAGGCTGTATATAAATACAGTAAATAAACAGTATACATCTTGTTAGCAACACCCATCCCTTTTGTGCAATCATGGAGGCTTACTCCAAGACTAGCAGAGCCGGAGAAACAAAATGGGCATGGCCAACGAGTATCAAGCTTGATCCCATGCACCAACTGTGAGGCCAGCTAAAGCTAGTTTGCACTAAGGCAGGAGAAAAAGAGCTCGGTTCGTAATTCCTACTAAACATAATGTGTATGTGGCACATTGAACAACATCTGAAATGAGGGAAATCCTGCAGATATCAAAATGCATGTGCAGTGTTGCCAATCAGTGATTTCAGCTAGACTTCAGTCCTGGCTAGCGACCCAGTGGGAAAAGCAGAGTCTTTCCTGCCTTAGGTCAGGGTCTGGTAGAAGGTTGCATTATTAATTATGTGATTCTGGATTTGAAGGGTGTCAATTCTGGAAAAAAAGTGTTCTCTCTTTGTGTATTCCACAGCCATCTTATTTCACCCAGGTACTTGGGGCATCCCTGCTATTAGGGTGGCATTTATGGTATTCCACAAGCCGAGTGGTCCTTCCACAACTTTATATACTGTTAGTCAATATATCTTCCCTATAGGATTGCGCTCTAAACCCATCTATTCTGCGTTTCTGGGTCATTGCCCTCTTTGTTTCTCTTATAATAGAGGCTGGTTTTTTGCCTTCTATCTGAGAAATCAATTTTAACTTGTATTGGTTGATGAACTTGTTTTCCTGCGGACATTTAGTTCCCTCAGGGTGGAACATGGTAAGGTTACCCTTTCCTTCATTCTTCAAAGAGTATCATTTCCATTTTCCACCCTGAGGGAACTAAATTATCAACGCTATGGGCTACTGTTCATGTGTGGCTTAGGTAGTTTCATGATAAAAATTCATTTGAACAAATTTAGGCAATCTATAATTAGATTGTCAATTCACATCTTGTCTAGTTACAGAGACCTGCTACCTCTCCAACAATCAGTGTGATTCGAGCAAAGCTGAAGTCACTTGATCACAGGAAAATGGTGAGTTCCATTTCAAGGTTATGCATGTGCGTGGAGTAAGAAAACTCTCAGCCTGCAGAGGTTCTTTGGTTTCTCCTCCCCTCTCAAAGCCCTGCCCCCCTAAGATGAGAAATGGGGGAAAGCAGGATATTTCTACCAGTGGGGAGACAGTTATGCTTATGTCTCATTTTTCCCACCTGGAAAGTAAGGCACGCATGTAGTCAGTGCTTCAGGAACCAGCTTAGTCAAGATCTAAACCACCACCAAAAGTTTAGTTTTTTTCCTTCTTTACCTTCCCAATGTGAAAAAAAACAGTTTTTTCTATAGTATACTTCCAAGAATCTCTTAGGCAGCATCACCAATATGCAAATTTGCCAACTTGTGAGAAACAGCAAAGCAGAAAGAGAGAATTTAAAATATTACACAGTCTGAAATCCAAACTTCTTGAGAATTCCCTAAAACACAATATGATAGAAGACACCATAATATAATACGAGAATGCAGCACAATACAAGTTTGCTAATTACTTTGCTTCTGGCACAGGGCACTTGTAAACATAATCGATTTCCTGGGACCTCAGCAGAGGAATCTTCCATTTGATCATCCACTCGATGGAGTATATGCCCATCAAAGATTTGCAAACCTGTGGATATGCCTGTTACCCCCAAGCTGTGAGCAAAGCATCAATGCCTGGATCTCATGCTTCTTCTAATGTTACTTACTGGACCCTTATCTACAGTGTTATATCTACCAGATTAACAGACGTTCTTCCATTTGAACATATGGAAGCTACTGTTTGATCACCTGCCTGTGAACTGAACAGTATTTGAAATGCAGCCTCTCTTTGGGGTGGTTTTGTGTTCTGTGTTTTTCCATATCCCCAAATTTCTGTCTATTTTTGGGGGCTTGGCTTAACTCTTTTTATTTTTTCTTCATTTGGTTGTTGTTTTTTTTACCCAGGTTGTAAATATATGTGCCTTTTTAAACTCTATATTTCCCATTATTATCCACAATAGAGTCTGGCGTTCATCCCTTCTTGGCAGCTAGTTTCAGTATTTTTTAGAAAGGAAGTCTCTCTGTTGTGCTTTTTGATGGAAGTAAAGAAAGGAGTCTCACTCACAGCTGTCTCTCACAAATCCCAGTTCTCTCCTTTTTAAGCCTGTGATTTGTTTGAAGCCGTCCACCTACCTGAGCTATCCTAACTTGGACATCCTTTGTTAGGCCAGCACTGCAAATTTCCTCCCCAGTTTAAAAGCCAAAAAGTGCCTTCTTCATTGAATTCTCAGATTCCAGTGAATCATCTTCAAAACGATCATATCTCATAAAGAGTATGTGATTCCATTGCCTTGTTCATTTTATCTTCAGCATGCACTTCTTCACTCAGTGCAGATTGCTAGGGCAGCCATTGGGATGAAGCATTTGTCGGATGGAATCTGACTTGCTGCCCCCTTCTTATTATGTTCCCACTATTTGTAGCACAAGTTGTGACGTCCATTTCTTGGGAAAGGACTAAAGGGCTGACAGTTTAATGACTAACAATCTATTGGAAGTGTTCTAAAACACATAAGAGTTGCTTGTTAATGTGGAAGACAAGTGACTTTGCTCACTGAGAAGGAGGTAAGGCTGACACATCAAAGAGAAATGTTCCATTTGCATCTGTCAGAAAAAGAAAAGCACAGGTGGAAAAGCGATGCAGTGTTGTAGTCTGGAAGGAGGGCCACCGTAGCACTGTAACAATAATCTGAAGCTGTTAGACTTTCTCTTGCTCTTAAAGAAGCAAGAAATCTGTCTAAATGAACATCTTGCAACCCTACATGGCAGCAGATGGCCACTTGTAACCTTGAGTACAGAGAGCCATATTGCAGTATGGCTAGATGTAGGTATTTGGTTTATACTATATTTATTGCCCTTCACAGTCGGCTATTGCTTACATTGTGATGGGAAGTGATGCAGCTTTTTGGGCACAGTGTTACTGGAGTCTCTAAACACATGAAGACTAATTATGGATATAGGGTTTCCTGCCCCTCACCTATTTTAAAAATGACAATTTTCTAAATCAGTAAATAATTGTGTTTCAGGTGCACACTGTTATGTTCTTACAAGTTGAGATGGAGGGTGTTACATATGCATGTCTGTAAAATAGCTTGAGTCAAAGAAATCGAAAACTACTAACAGTGAGGTCATATGCAACACTGAGAAGGTAGTGTAAAAATGTGGGGGTTGAAGGAGAACGAGGTGGGAGGAAGCAGCACACTAGGAAAAGGTATGTACGGTATTCAGTCAGCCTTCCACATTTGCACGTTAAGCATTTGCAGATTTGATTATGTAAGGATTACTGTATTTTCTGCCACTATTGCTGCTGCGCTGCCATTTTTAACAGGGACTTAGATAACACCAGAGTCACTGGGAGGAAATCAAACTGGTGGGGTGGCTTGGTCTGCCTCACTCACATTCACGGTCAGGAAATGGGATGGAGGAATGGGCAAATGTGTGTACTTGCTTATCCATTTGCTGCTCATGGACAGGAGGGGGAGAAGGGGATGGGATAAAGAGATGAGAGGGCTCATGCATTCACTCACTTGCATGGGTAGAAGGGAGAAAGGTGATTTGATGGGTGTCCCTCTCTTCCCACCCCCATATCCCACCCCCTACTCCTCGTGCATATGTGAGTGAGGGAATGTACATGTGGATGAGCCCTGCCACCATTCAAGCACAAGTATGGGGCAGATCCTAGAGATACTAATTGTTTTTCCACTTTTGTTGAAAGTCACCATGTGAAAATGGAAAGCTAATTGTATAGTATTTGTGCTTAAGAAGACAATGAAAGTAGTGAAGGACAGGGGAACTGCAGTGAATCAGCAAACTAAAATTCCAGATGCCCTTTGCTTCCACTTACATTGTATATGGTCACAAGGTGGCTGTCTACAATTTCTTATGTTATCAATCCCAGGATGAGGATATTGGTTCAGGATGACGGCCTGGAATTTCTGTAAATACACTCCTTAGATTTTATTTGTTCCTTACATAAAATATTTTTGGTCCAGAAGAAATTACCATCATTGTTTGAGACTTTAAGGAAAACCACACAGGTTTGGTGTCCAAATCACCAAGATGTTCTAAATATCAAATCCACTTACCATTCAAATATTAGCTGCACTGAGAATGAAACAATTCCAGCTCCGTTACTGGCCCTACAAAGAAATTGCCTCCATGAGTGTCTCTGTTCTGTTGCTAACCTCATTTTTACTGTGGAAAACTTGTACTTATCTGTGCAATGCAATGTAAATATTTTGGTTTTTATGTGTATTGTCTTATCTTCTCTTAATGTGAAATTCCTATATTAAATAATCCCTTGCCTTGGTGTTTTGTTACCAGACTAATCTGATAATTTATTTCTTTACTCAAATTATTCAGGGCTAGAACATGGGGAATCAGATAGTTATATGTCTCTTGACTTTAAAGTTAATAGTATGAAAGTTAAAAAAAAATAAAGGAAATAGAAATCCCTTTATTGTGCCAAATCACATGTACAACCATGCTAATCATTTTACTGATAGTAGAAGTTAAGCATTTATGAAAGTACTGCAGGTTGGTCTGCAATTTATAACAACTATCATTAGAACATTCTTGTTTCCAAGCGGGTAGAATAGCACAAAAACCTTAGAAAAAGAATCTTTAAACACATCTCCAGCTAATGCACTTTCCTTATTGCCACAGCTTGTTCTTGATCTTAATTAGGACAACTTTGTTCACACTTTGATTTGTTATATGATTGGTTCACGTTCCCATGAGAAAATAGCTCTAGAAATTACTAGCAATGTCACAACGTCATTTTAATAAGGTTCTGTTAATAACATAATTTCAATGGAAAAGGATAGGCTGTTTCCTGCTAACAAGACAATAAGATGGAAAATTGATTTAAAAGGGTAGAGATCTATGTTACGAGGGAGTGGTATATGGTCTAATAAAAGGACTAGGGCTTGTGACTTTTTTACTCAGTCAAGGGCAAAATGTCAATGCAATAATTAAAGTCCAATTTTGTCTCCAACAGCTAAACCACACTGGCTACATTATATTGACTCTTGTGTCAGTTTAATGAATATATATGACTCTAGTCATATCAGGTTTAAAACTGACCAATATAAACCGTTTTCATTAGAGGCTTTCATTAAAACTGGCTGCTTTTGGTTTTTTGACAAATGTGCACCTTGAGCTGATACAACAGGGATCAATAGCATACTTTCCAGGTTGTACTAGTTGGAAAGCGGATGTGTGCAAAGCATGGTCCTCCAGATATTAGGCTATACCATCTCTCAGTTGTTACTATTGGCTATGCTAGCTGATGCCATTGGGAGTTGGAAGCAAACAAGACCCAAAGTGAGATGTATTTCCCATCCCTATCCTAAAGCATCATCATTTCTAATGTACTGAAAAGTTTGGAGTGTAGCCATCTGATGAAGAAAATAATTTGAAAGCATACTGCTCAGGGTTATTCTAAACTGATGTTGTCATCTGGAATTTGTTCTGTGAAAATGTCCAAGTTGTTCTTGTGCTTCAGTGGTCCGTTGATTTAGCCTTCACTTCCCAGAATCCTTGACCATCAGTCATATTAACTGAGGCACCAAGGAACTGAAAACTAAAACCCCTTGAGGAACAAAGGCTTTGATCTCTTATAAGTGACAGTGATGACAGCAGCAGAGCTTGGAAAAAATTGGTTTTTTAGACTAAGTTCCCAAAATCTCCTAGCTGGTTATGCTGGATGAGAAATTTGGGAAGACTTTTCCACATTTGAGGTTTAAAAGATTGCTTTCCTATACATGAAAACATTCTATTTTATATGTTGTTTTGTGATTAAACTGGCTACTGACTAAACATAAAGTGCACTGAAAGACCAGATAATGACTGCCCAAGTCTTCTCCTAAAATATACATGTATATATGTACCTTCAAGTCAACTGCCAACTTATGATGACCTCATGAATTCCATAGGGTTTTCTTAGGCAAGGAATATTCTGAGTTGATTTTGCCAGTTCCTTCCTTGAAATATACCATACAATATCTGGTATTCATTTCCAGGTGCTAATCAGGACTGGCTCTACATAATTTCCAAGATCAGACTGAGATCAAGTGTCTTTAGGGCAGGGGTGTCAAATTCATTTTTATCAAGGCCATATCAGACTTAGGTTGCCTTCAAAGTGTCATTTGTAATTGTAAGACTGTTTAAATGTAACTATGATGCTGTGCCACATAAAAGGATTTGGCTGTATCAGAATTTGCCTTGTATTTGATGTTAGGGTATTTAGGCTCTTCATAATATATATAATAACTAGTATTTAGTAGAGAAAAGACAGTTTTTTATTTTGTTTATTATGAATGCTCCCATGAGAAAATACATAATGTGTATGAACTATAATTCCCAGAATCGTGGATCAATCCTCCCCAAACTAGGCCTGTAGGAACATGGCTATGTTAGGTCTGTGTGCCAAGTTTGCTCCAGATCCAATGTTGCCTGGGTTCAGTGCTTTCTGGATGAGGGTGAACTACAACTCCCAAAATCAAGGTCACTTCCCACAAACCCCTGCAGTATGTTCAGTTGGTCATGGGACTTCTCTGCCAAGTTTGATTCCAAACCATAGTAATTGGGGGGACAGTTTCTCCGGATACAGGGTGTCCTACAACTCCCATGGGGTGGATCATTCCCTCCCCAACCCTTAAAGCGTGTTCTGTTGGCCATCAAGGTTCTGTGTGGTAGGTGTGGTCCAGAATCTCCATTGGGGGCTTCAGAAAGCAGGGTGAACTACAACTCCCACATGGCTGGATTAGTCTTCCCCCAAACTCTTCCAGTATGTTCAGTTCGTTAGTGGCAAGTTTTGTCCAGATCCATCATTGGTTGGGTTTACAGTGGGCTCTGGATGAGGGTGAACTACAACTCCTATATATCAAGGTCAATATTCCGCAAACCTGGTTATGGGGGTTGTGTGTGCCAAATGTGGTCCGGGTCCATTGTCAGTGGAGATCACAGTGCTGTGTCTTGATGCAGGGTGAACTGCAACTTCCATCCTGTGGAGTCAGTCCCCCAACCCCCACATACACATTTTCACTTTTATTATGTGTATAAATAGTTAGTTAGACAGACAGACAGACAGACAGACAGATTTAGATGGATATTGTTCTGCGCTTCATTCTAAAGATCGTCCGGGGAGGCCCTGCTCTCGGTCCCGCCGGCGTCACAAGCGCGGTTGGCAGGGACGAGAGACAGGGCCTTCTCGGTGGTGGCCCCTCGGCTATGGAATGCCCTACCAGTGGACATCAGGCAGGCTCCATCGTTACTGGTGTTTCGGAGGAGGGTGAAGACGTGGCTCTATGAACAGGCATTTGGATAACTATGCAATGACAATTAACTCAGTAAGACGGCATTGGAACAAGGAACGGAAAAGGATTGTGAGAACGGGATCTGATTCTAATTGAGGCGTCGATGACTATGTGTGTTGTTTGTGTATGTGCGTCTTATATATTGTTCAGTGTTGCCCATTTTTATTGTAAACCGCATTGAGTCGCCATCTCAGGCTGATAAATGCGGTATACAAATGGAGTAAATAAATAAATAAATTCTTGAGGAAGAACTTCTCATAGGTAGCCACATGAGGGAGCTAGTTGTTCATCCTTGTCTGGATTTCTAAGCTAGTTGTTCATCCTTGCCCTACATGTCTGAGACTGGCTGTCTTCTTGCAAATGGGAAGCAAAGGAGTTTTGAGGAGGGGGAACTGTGCAAAGATTTGTTGTTTGTTTTTTTTTAAACAAACTACTGGGTTCAAAATCCCTCTCTGCTACTCTGGAGAAGTTTATTTCCACAAAGAGTCTGCCATCTTATCCTGCTTTATTATAAAAAGAAAAAAAATCTTATGGTTCTTTAAGCCAATTTATTTTAGTAGCACTTTTGTGGATAATTGGCAACTTCCTCAGATGCATAATGGAGAACAATATACAAGCTTTGGATGTACAAACACATTTTCAAGACTGGGTATGGGACCACAGTGAAATTCGATAAAGAAAATAGTAACTGCATTATTAATGCTGATGATGAATCTTCCTAGGGCTGGTTTATCACATCCTGGCAGGGTGTATTCTATCCCTTTAGTATCGGGGACCTATGATTTATTAATGCTATACTTATACTTCCTTGCTTACAAAATCCTCATTTAAGGGCGGGGGGGGGGGGCACACATCAGCCTTATTCTAAGCTCTGTGCTTTTTTTTCCGTGTCAAACTGAGAAACTGCAAGTCGCTTCTGGTGTGAGAGAATTGGCTGTCTGCAATGATGTTGCCCAGGGGACACCCAGATGTTTTGAAGTTTTACTATCCTTGTGGGAGGTTTCTCTCATATCCCCGCATGGGGAACTGGAGCTGGCAGAGGGAGCTCATCCGCACTCTCCCCGGATTTGAACCTCTGACCTATAGGTCCTCAGTCTTGCGGCACAAGGTTTTAACCTATTGCACCACCGGGGGCTCCATGCTGTAAGTGTTGGAGTTCATGGTGCAAGTAATATGCATCAGCCCAGCAGTGGTTATATTTGTGACTCCCTTCCCAGGACTGCCATAAATGTAAAGAAGACAACTTCTTGGCATCTTCATTGATAAAGCAGAACAGGGCTGCTATTATAGCTTCCCTGCTAGTTGGGCTAAGGAAAGGAAAGGAAAATCGAATTGGTTTGAAGAGTAGCATTGAGCTGTGATTCTGAATGCACTTCCTTTGAGACCTTCTTTTCTTTTTTTATTTAAAGTCTATTCTGGAAGCCAAAGCAATCAGGGCAAGCCCTTGGGAATCCACAGAAACTCCAAAGAGGGATGAGTTTATTTCAGTCAAACTGCAGTTTGACATTGTGGAAGCCTATGTCAGACATACTTGGCAACAGCAAGTGGAAAGTTAGCCTAATAAGCAGTAAATTATCCCCCCTCGTTCCCCAATGAGAGCTAATGAATTTCTCCAAGCAAAGGAGAGGAAAAGAACAGTCAGTAGAGTCTCTGACTTCATGATACTATGTGGAAAAGTAACCAACAACCAAACATTTGTCAAATGTGTGCTGAATCAGACCCAGTTCTGTCTGTTATTGTTATAGTGCAATAAATGCTAGGTATTTATTGAAAAAAGAGTGTCCTCGGAATCTGTAATAACTATCCGAAGCCAACATATATCTGATTTACTTTATATCCATATGAAATAATTGAAGAATCATGATCACATATACAATTTTTTTTCTGTGCTAGGCTAGGCTAAGAGGGCTACAGCCAGTCATCTAAACCATTAGAAATCCCCAAGAATCCCTAGGAGCAAAGCAATGACTAACATGGATTTTGTGGATACATTCTACTTTACATC